GGAATAAAGTGATTTTTTTAAATTAATACACTGATCCTTTTTGAACATTTTTGGATTTGGATTATGATTTCCCTTGTTCAAACCAGTGTCGTGGCCGAAGGGCTCGGCACAAGAAATCCATCAGAATATAATGAGTTTTTCGGACTGGAAAATAACTCGACGCAAATGCACTCTGAAGACTCTGAGAAAGTCACTCGTGCTGACCAAACGTCAGGAAGAAATTCGTTTCCACTACTGTCCTAAAAGTGCGGAAAAACTAATCAGTTTTATTTTCTTTGCGTTTTTCGGGTTCTCCACGGGTTGGAAAATATCTGTTTCATTTGCGTTGGGATTTGGTACGGCCTGCAGTGTTTGCAATTGAGCTTTCGGGTCCCGATTGAAACGAAAAGTTTTAATGAAGCTGACATGCAAAAAGCCAATTATCCAACTGGCTTAATAACCACTGTTAACGAAGGAATGTTTGGCGAAATTACAGCATAGAACTCGTGGGAACCCCATCCGCGAATGAGCACCACTTGGGGAAAAACGACGAGTTTTTGGTGCCTTTTGGAGCTTCGAAATCGCCAAAATTCCGGCAATTATTGCCCTAAATTGTCCATAATTTATGACTTTAATTGGGCCACTTTGGCCTCGCCGGTATTAAAAGCCGATTATCCCCGAATAGGAATGGCCTGTAAATCGATAGATTTCTCTTCTGTGCAGGGTTTTAATTCATTCAGGCGCCCAAATTGATCCGTCGGAAATCGCTCAAAGCCCATATTCCCATTCGGGATAAGGCAATCCGCGCGGTTTGATTTTTCAATTTCGCCTCGCCGTCCTCCCGCAAATATCTTTCAAGCTGCAGTATTTTATTTTTCCGATATTAATAAAACCCGCTAAACCTACTGCGAGGCGCGATAGATCCCGCTTTTCCGATTTTCCTGCTTTTGCGATTTTTCTGCCTCCGTCACATGTGTGTATTTTCGATAATCGAAAAGCAAATTTGCACGAACGCGCCCACAGATTTGCCTGGAATTGACAGCACCAACAGGAACAATCAGCCTCAAAAATCGCATTGCAATTGACCATTTTCCATCAGATTGCCGCTTTTTAACATACACCATCAAAGATCAGTAGAACAGTCACTTCTCTGCACTGGTATTGGGTCTTCAACCGGAAAAAGCCTCAAAAACGCAGAACATTTGCAACTTTCAATCAGAAAATCTCCAAAACTTTACCGGATTTGTAAATTAATTACGATAGTTTTAAAAAATGTTGATAGATTTCACTTAATTTGCAAATTGCTTCCAACTTTGGGGACACTTTATTAACCATCATTTTCGGCTTTTTATGGGAAAACATGCAATAAGCGCATTTTTGACATGATGACTTCTGTTTTTCAATACCAAAAACGCTCTATTAAAATTTCGAAATCGCTCTTGCATTGATGTTTTAGGAAGCCAAAAACGCCGACTTGGTCTTCCATCAGTTGCCATTACGCGTTTTGTCATTCGGGTACAAAATCGATTTTTTCGGGAAAACTGTCGGTTTTAGACGCTCGCATTTTTGTGAATAATTGCATTTTTCGCCCAATGATTTTGGGACATCTCTCTGTACCTATATGTTCACGTTGAAACTCAATTTAGGCTAAGTAGGGCGAAGGTTGTTTTAAAAATATCTTCAAATATACAGATTGAGTAACTACTGAAGCGGGCCTAAACTTTTTTTGAATTGTGTGTTACACTTTTCCACTATAATCACAAGGTGGCTTCCTATTGGGACACCTTGTATAGTTCAAACTAATTTAAAAAATGGCCCACTTAACACTTTTTCGTTTGCCTCAATGTTGCGGGAAACGAAACACTTTCATGAACTTTCATCGGGCCAAAATGACGATAATAATTTTATACAAGAAACATTTTTGTGTTAACTTTCTGTTCTGAAATTATCAGGTGTTTTCCCCATTAGATCCCCAAACATCCATCAACTCGAACCGCAGCCGCATTGTCTTCCGCTGAAACCTCCCTTTGTGTATCATAATTTCCATTTCCCTCGCCTAATTACGTTGTTCGTCGACTTCTTTTATCTCCCCACCGATTGCTAATTCCCTGTTTGTTTGTCCGATGTTTCAAAATAATTAAGGAAACCCACTTAGCCAGTTGCGACCATCGAAAAAACTCATTTAGATCGGTCCCTCCCTCATTTAAAATTCCCGCAGTCTGAAGAAGTTTACACCAAAGTGGCGAGAGCGGCGACGGAAAGATAATTAAAATTTATGAAGGAACAGTGTCGGTTCTGATTATTTAATTAGTGTTTTAGCGGGTAATTAGGTTTCGGCACGCTTTTGCTTTTTAAGCGGGAATTACACTTTTCGGGTGCCAATAAAAAGCATTTTTCCTCTGTGGTTCGGCGGTTTTCGCAGTTTTTCAAGTAAAATCGCTTTGGTTGAGTTTCAAGGTTTAAAACGTCAACACTGGAGCCTCCGGTGGAACTTACAATGGCGAATTACTAATTTAGTATGCTAATCGTCGATTCGGGAGACGTATTTTTTCCTGTAATATCTCGTTTAATATTCAGAAGGAGGCTATCAATTAGCAGTAACCGCTGATACTCATACTGTTATTAAATTATCACGAGATGCCTCGCAGTAGGAATGTGCCTGCTGATCGATGCACACTCAACTGCATGGCTTGGCGAGTGGCAGACGAAAAACGGCCTAAATATTATGAAATTGAACCCAATAATTACTTTTCCGTTGGTTCCAACAGCTACTGGAAATGTTCAAGGCCCCGCCACACGATCAACGAACCCAACCAGACCAAAGAACAAAAAAACTTAATTCGAAACTAAAAATACTTATTAAGTTTGAAATGTGTGTGCCGGGGCCCCGCTTGTAATAATCACTCTGGGCTTTTTACATTTTTAATTTAGGAATTGGTTACACTCACAAAAATTAAGCAGAACATTCAAGATTGCACGGTACGTTTGGGTTAGTGATTATCCCACTCGCGCTGCCACTGCTATGGGGAAAATGCTCCATTTGCGACCTTTACCGACGCCAGTGCATTCGGATTATTTGCCGCCGATCTTTTCCTTGTTGTTACATAAATTGCCTACGAAATGTGGGTCTTTAGCTCCAATATTGATGCTTAATAAATCTCGGTAATAATGCATAATGGCCACAAGAAATGATTTATTATATTACTTTCTAGCGATATCTAATGTATTTCATGTTCACGACGCCGCTTTTTGTTATCCGTGTCGTTATTGTGCTCCTCCGTAATGTTCGTACAACGGGACATTTAGTCACCGCTAAATTCTCTTATAATTACGTGCCAGTTCTCAAAACTAGATTTTATCATTTTCGGATTGTCTGCATCTTAATGTCTAGCGATGCCAGCTTTTCAACAGGAAAATCCTGCCAATCTGCCCTACAAAAGCACTTCCAGATAGAGGGAAGCTTTGATGGCACCTTTTTCCATTACTTTTTGGAGGTACTTAGTCTTAGAAAGCACTGCTGGAACTTGGAAGGCAACAATTGAGCAGGATTGTGGCCTTTACAACACGATAGGCTCCTGCAGAAAATATGTTCTGAGGATGCGTCTGTACTCCCTCAAAGCTCACAAGTGGAAGATCCATAAAAAATTGGCAAATGACACGAATTGAACTTCCGAGAAACGTTTTGTCTGCCTTTGCAGCTGAAACACATTGAAACACTCAACTAAAAAGTGGCGTAAAAATTCGATACCCACAAACAAGCGATACTTGTCCACTACTCGAAAACGCGATTGGTGATAGATTGAAAATTCAACTAAATCGGACAGTTTTTCAAAAAAAATCAGTCACATTTGGCGATTGAATGCAAAATGTCTGAGGATGGCCGAAAATCGAAACCGAAAATATGGGCGTTAGTGTCCAAAAGCTTTCAAGCTGTGAATAAGGGAGTTTATACAAGAAAACCGACGCTCTTTAGGAAATATTCGGAAAATTGAGATTGAAATGAAGAAAAATGCACAACAAATCAGCCAGTTTTGAAAATTAGTTTCAAAATGTCTGGTGATGACTGACATTCGAAACTTTTTCAGTTTATACGCGAAACTTACTTCTATAAAAGACACCAATTTGTACGGATTTATTTCGTCTGCACTTAAAGGTGTTAGACTTAAATGTCTGAAGCAAAGGATGCGAGAAGAAAAAATACTCATTACGTAGGTATAAAAGAAAAAAAAAGTTAAATTGGGAGAATTTGATCTGATTGACCACACACCGAAAAACAACAGATGCCAAGGAGTAACACGAGAAAAATTGAAGATTTTAAAAAATAATAAGAAATGAAAAACTCAACAGTTCTGATCAACGTTTGTCTTAAACGCAAGTTTTGCAATTTTAAACTAGAATTAGAATGTTAAATAAAAAGATATTGCTGATGGAGGAAAAAGGAAACTTACAAACTTGATGGTGCTTAAAATGGAAATTTGGAAAAACCTAATAAACACTAAAATTCAAGATCCAGCCTTGAAAATAAGAAAAACGCGGTGAAATTGGAAAATTTGGCAACAAATGCCTGAACTGATAGAAAACTGCTTAGAACTATTGCAATTTATGAGTTTAAGCAGTGCTCGATCAATTCTGGAAGCTTTCACGCATTTCGTGTCAAATTTCACTGTTTTTTAACAAAAATTCCTTAAACCTGATCAAATTTTCCAATTCCTTTCGCATTTAAAACATTCTGAACACATCAATTTATCCTTACATCCAAAGCTGCTCTGTATTTATTCAACTTACCTTAATGCCTCTCGTATTACGTCATCATCTGTCCCGCCTTTATGCCTCTGTTTCCATGACAATCTCTGCTTTAGCCCAATCAATGTCACTGCTGTTCAGAGGTGTTCTATGTGTCACTGTCCCATTGCGTCATTGGTTAAGGCTGTGTAGGGAGTTTTGCCATAAAAATTGAGGTTTTTTTCGCAAAATCAGGCTCACGCCTCCCCCCAATTAGAGGATCAATAAAACGACCAGACTATGATAAACTATTTAGTTTATTTTGACTTTCATATACACTCACAAATTGAGAGGCGGCATTTAAGCCGTAGGATACAAACATTTACCTATTAGATATTAGAGAGCGCTCGCACTCGGTCCCGGATTTATCACGTAACGACCGATCGCTCTGTTGATTGACTTATTTTGTTTGCGACCACTGTGGAAAAATGAGTACGTTTACTTCGGATCGTTTGCGTGATACGTCTGGAAAGTCCGTGCGACAACTGTCACTATTATTATTATTAGTATTCATTTGTTGTGAACTGGAAAACTATGCCAAACAATCCGTTTTGTTTCTGAAAAAAAAATGGAAACTGAATGGTAATATCGCCGAAAATTAACAATCTCTCTCAAGAATAGCGTGTCAATTAACTTAACTCGTTCTTATGTACATCACAAGGAAAATAAATAAGCTAGATATTCTACACCTTAGAAACTAAAAATCACTTTTCGAGTACGAAGTCTTAGTCAGCAAAAAAATAACAATTCGAGAATAATGATTATCAACTAAACAGTATCTAAAGCCTAAAATAATGGCAACCTAATGACATTTCTCAACTGGGAAATAACGCATGGGTATGTACAAAGATGCCTATAAACCGGGGAATTGTTTGTCTCGCAACCGAAAAAACCAAAAAGAACTTCCGAACAGAAAAAAAACTGCATGCTGCCAAAAATTGTAAATAATAATCCGAAAAAACCGAGGATGGGGGGCCAGTAAAACAAATTCAAATCAACAAAACCAAGGAAAAAGGGTTAGTAGCAGTCAGTATAAGCATCTTTGTTAGTAGAGCAGCACAAATCCATAGGTAAATCTGAGTATTAACGCAGATATTAATAGTATTAAAGAGAGCAACAAAATGTCAGATCAACAGTGTAAAGCGACAGTTAAACAGTATTTGAATAATATCCTGAAAGTGAAAATCTAAGCTAAGAGATATGAACGGTAGGAACTAGATTTTTGGGCGACACCGGCCACGAAAACCACCATATAAAACCAATGATAAACACATCGAAATGTTCACAAATAGCAAAACATTTAATAGTATTGAATATTAATAATAATCGTATAATGATTCACTTTTGTAGGCCAAATGGCCTGCTGATTTCTCATCAGGGTTTCACTTTTCCATCTCCCGAATTGCTGTTAGTTCAATGTTCAAACGTTCTAAACCATGAATTTACACCCAAAGTGAAACCCCGATCAACCAAAATCATCGACTTCATTAGCAACTTCTATATTCAACAATCACACATTGTTCCAAGAAAACTCACTTTTTTAATGCGAGGCAGGTCACACCAACCGAGTGGCGTTTCCCATTTTTGAGTTATTTTGGATACGTTAAACCTAATAGTTAAAATTTTTAATATATATATCTACGACTATATATATATGCGATCATGTTGGAATCCAACGAAAAAACATAATAACTATTCGTTGGCCGGGCGACGCGCCCCTGATGATGTGTTAGTGTCCCGAAACCGCGCATGGGATTGGAAAAGTTAAAGCAAGCGATAATGGAATGGATTTTGCCCATAGTTTTTTTCACATCTTAATTGCGCCCTTTTCCGGGCAACTTTGCTCAGCTTCCCTGTAGTCAATTTTGTTTCCGTTTCAATTCGAGTGAGTTTTGAAAATTTGTACAACTATTCAAAAACATGAAAACAAAAACAATGAAAATGAGAGAGAACAACATGAAAGTTTGAAAGAAAGAGAACGATGTTTTGAAATGGCCATCGCGATCTCCCGATCTGAACCCAATCGACCATCTTTGGTTAAACCACTGTTTTTCCATTTGTGGTAGATTTTTCAAAGATTCGGTCCCATTGAAGAAAAACTGTGGCTTGGCACATCACGCCATTCTTTTGGCCAATCGCGACACTCCCCTTTAAAGACCATAAGAAATTGCATACAATCTTGCTTTGCTTAAGTCTATAGACTGCGATGTAAACATACTCAAATCAAGATGAAACTGATGAGGTTTTCAGGCCTTTAGGTGGTTGCAGTGGAAACTAGTTTTTCCCGACGTTTGGCAAGCCCGAGCGCCTTGCATCTTCCGAGATGGTAAAACTCACGAGTTAACAACTGAACTAAATTAATTATTGAGTAGTACAGGGGTTACTCGAATAGTTCTTATACGGTGGATTGGAAAACTATGGACAAAACCGATTCGAATAACTTGAATATTGCACTTTAAATAACACTTAATGATCACTTACCCTTCGCAATCCGCACGCCACTGCTGCCTGAGTGACACCAAAACTGTTCCGGGCCGAGCATCGTCGCCTTAGACCACTGTACTTTTTTTATAATTAATTAGTATTATTATTAGTAGGAACCAAGTTTGTCAGATCGAGGGATATTTAAGAGTTTCATGCGAAATACTCAAAAAAGCACAACGTTTCTCCCGCTAGTATGATATCTTCAGTTACATATAAATATACATATACAGTTAGTGTTGGTTTTGTGCCAGCAAGGCGGCCGCCATTGGCCACATTGTTGACAGGAAACGTCATCACGGAATACAGAGTGATCAACAGAAGTTCATGTATCTAATAAAAAAGTTTCATTTGCAAATATTCATTATTCAATAATAAGTAAAAATTAGGGGCGGCCCCTATTTTGCGATTGGTGCCTTGGTGAGGACCAGATTAGAGACCACGCCCTATAGGAACTTGCTTTACTGACGCCGCAATTAGGCGCATGCAGTGTAGATAAACCCAAACGAACCAAATAACGTCAAAAAATTGAGCGTTTTTTTTTAATTTTTGGTTCGCCCCGGTATATCGGTTACGCGAGATTTAGGTTACATTTAGGAACATTTCATGTCGCAGTTTTCAAATTTCACTATTTACATACACAAAAAATTGCAGGAACTGGCATTGGCAGGCTGACGGGTTCAGCCGGTTTTCCACTGGTTCCGTCGCCTGCTTCGACTTAATAGTAACTATCAGTTGCAATTATAGGAAACATAACCCTACTTCTTCTATGTTACATACAACAATATTATTTTACACAGCTACGTTGATTAGTTAGTCAATCGTTCTATCTTTGTCGGTCTGGATGGTGGTTGTGATTGGCTTGGTTTTGGTTGGGTTTCTGACTTTTTTAGTGGCCCGCACTGGTCAAGGCATGCGTCGGACTGAGGAACCTCCGTTTTGGTTCCGCCGGTTGACAGAACCCATTCGAATTGGAGTCAAGTATGTGCCCTTGTGGGGCTTCTTGCGCAGCTCGCGTGGCCAACAGCGTAATCTGATTGACCACGTCCTCTATCTCTTGGCTCAGCGAGCTTTCGCTTCCGGTCATGTGGCGCTGATGTGCCTCCGATTGGACATGTCCCTGCATGTCAATTAAAGTTTTAAATTTCTCACCGTTGTTGCATGGTCTGCACTCGTAGCCGGTCTGGACTATCCGGAAAGTGCCCCTACTATCCTGATTCGGCCCGTAGCATTGTCGCTGATGGGCCAACAGCGCCGAGTCGCTAGGATACGCCATCCTGCACTTCTTGCAGACGAAGCACAGCTCAATGTCCACTTCGCGCGCAGGCAAATCGGCAGGCCTGCTGTAGTTGAGATCGGGGAGTTTGAGAGTAGTCACTCCCGGTTCTGAGTTGTTTTGCGCCACTTGCTGCAGCACTTGAGGTGGTAGGGGCAGGAAGGACGGGCCATTTCCGGTGTCTAGAAGCAGTCCTCCGGCTCCGCCTGCAACAAATCACCACATAAGTACATCAATGCAGGCCACTCCAGCAGGAACTTGGCTCAAAAGGTGCTTAAAAGAGCATAGTGGCAACAGCGGAGATATTTTTTGGACCAACAATTGGGAACTTCTCGCAGAAGAAATCGCGCCTATCAAACATCAGCCCTCAAAGCGCAATAATTAATTTGTAATAAACAATTAAAGTTGTGACCGCAAGCCGTATTCATTTGAAACGACAGTAAACGCGCGGGAATGGTCGTGACGTCATAGCGCTAGTTCGTTCGATCGGAAGGCAATACGGGAATACGGCTTCTCGTTGGATTGTCTGGGTGTTTGACTGTTCAGAATTCCGTTACGTTTGCGAGTAATATTTATCAAATTTAATTTTTGTGCAAGTTCACAAATGCAAGATGCTGACTTAAACTCAACTCGCTCCATTTACTTCAGTTGCTGACAGCCGTTGCCAAGCCCAGGAGTTGCGTTTTTAAAATACCCAAATACACCGGATTTATTGCCATTCAAACCCGAAAATCGACTTTCGGTAAACCACGAAAGTGGTTCGGTTGATTTGAGTGATGAATTTCTGTCCAGCAGAGCGTTTTTAACACGTAAAGAACGAAAAACTGCCTGACGTCTCTCATTACTTGTGCGGCGTTGCCGGAAATGTGACGCGTGGCACTTTGGGCGCGGCCTGTGAATCCACCCTACTTTTATAGTTTATAGTATAGTTCTGCGGTCTGTTTTAATTTGTAATTTAATTTAAATTAAATTAGCCCGGGAGTCGATGAAGAGTAAAATATGCCGGACCTTCTAAAACACTCTGTGCTGCTGTTAAATTTGAAAATTGTTCATAAAAAAGCCGCCCAGATACCATGAACATGCCGACAATTAACATCTATAATTATTTAAAAATAATCTGCACAGCTTTCTGAGAAACTGCTAAACACCATCATGAAATCTGGAAAGTTTTATGTGGAAATGGCCATAAAGATCGGCGCACGGCCCACTATACCACCTATTAAAACCTGCACCAGAGTGAATCAGAATAAATAAAGGACAATCATTAAAAGATTACATACTTGTCGATACATTAACATCAACAGTTGATCGGGCAGACCAGGCGAGTTCTTCGCGCGTTAACGACCGAATGGCATCGGCAGGACAGAGTCGATCGGCTGTAGCATGGGCCGGTCCCAATGTCTCGTGGACTTGTATAAATTTGTCCCAACATTTGTGTTATAAGATTGGGACGAGATTAAAATGGATTCCCCAACGGCCCACTCTTAACTTTGATTTTATTGAGGTGTAAGTACCTCAGGTGCTACGTTCCGCAATAGCACGCCAATCAGATGACTGCGAGAGCTCAGAGTGGGATCGGGTTGGCAACTTGAGTTTTAACACCAGCAACCCCGTTTATCGGTCGATTCTTTGGTCTTGAGTAACTCATTAAGCGATGAGTTAAAACCCATTAACTCAAAGAGCGGTAACACTCCAAAGCGCAACTCGACACAGTGTTGCCCAGGCCTAGTTTTATGTGCAATTTTTTTCGTGATCTTCATGCAAAACCATCAAAACTTTGCCGGCAAATCACAGAAGCGGGAATTGTGAACAGTCAGACTTTGTGGTTGGTGGAGCAGGAAAGGCAACATTTATGAACGCAGCAGTATAATATGGTACCAGATCAACGCATTGCAAACAAACGAATTTCCTGCATAAATTATCCCGGTAATTAGCTCTCGAACACGTCCGAACGCCACCTTGCGAGCAGATAAAAATAAATCGTTGTTTTAATAGCCCGTGGTACGCGAAGTGGTACCCGACCTCAGGTGTTGGGATGATTAGTTTGACCACGGTTTATTGGTTTTAATTTTACGACCTGGTTTAAAGGCCCCGAGTCAAATAAATTTTTCATTTTTCCTCTTTGGTTAGAGCCAGAGCCACCTCTTTAGCTGCGATAAAATACACTCTCCGTCTTGTTGTTGTTTGGCTGGGAAACAGGCAAGTTTTTAATTTTCAATAAAGCCGTAGCCGCGCCAGTGTTTCCGGGCGAAATGTATTTTATAATTCGTAAAAACTCGCACACAGTTCGGAAGCAAAAATCCATATCTCACCCCGGGGGTGCTTCAAGACGCAAGACGCCCCCCGCTTCTGCCCCTCTTACTTTTCGTCGGGCGAAAAAGTAAAATTTAAGAATCCATCGCCCTCGTCCCGAGCAGGAGTAGACCTGCTAAATTTTCATCTTCTCCTTTTTAATATTTTCCTGCGGATTTTTCTCCTTGTGAATGAGAACTTCTCTCGAAAACGACCCCCTAAAGGCCCAGGGAGGTGCTCTGCTCTTTGCCTTATTAGAGAATTGCTTTGCTGGAATTTTCGAGCGAATGCCCCAACTTTAAACTTCCCGACCCTTCAGTCGCGCTCAAGGGGGCTGGGGAGTATTCGTATCCGAATTGAAGGCGAAAATAGGCAATTTTCTTTTTATGTCGGAACGAGGATTTTTTAATTTCGACCGCGAATTATAATTAGAAAGTCGGAAAGTGTAATTTAAGATGCTGTTTTATTGGGGATTTTATTGTTAATGAAAATGAGTTTTCCGGCTCCGGGCCGTTTTTCCGCCGCGTGGTTTTTCGCACTGATTTTCCCCTTTGCATTTTATTATCGCGTTTCGCTTTGGAGTCGCTCGCTCTGTCGCAGCTACGCCACTGTTAAAACAATGTGCATTACCATGATAGGAAGAATTTTTATCGAACCTCAGCATCACGACAGCGCGAGACCCAACAATTCGATATCGATCCGAAGAACAAACATTTATGCAAGGTAATCGTATTAAATTGCTGATCTGTCATTGTCACATTTTCATATAATTCGATTCCTTGGCCGTAATGTAATTAAAAAGGGCGTTTCTGGCCGCGTTTACACCGGATAGAGTCCATTAGGCAGCGGAAAAAAACACAATTCAAATCGACTCTCATTTATTACCATTAGATCCATATCCATAAACGAGGAAACGTAATTCGGTAACGCAGTTGCTCCTTCTTAAGCGAGGAGGGCCAACCATTATTGCCAACGCGGCGTTTTGATTTAGGCTCGTTATTACCCGGAGATAATGAGTTTTTTTTGCACCCCCGATTGCTAAAAAGATGGGGTGCCACGCACCATTGTCTTTAAAGGGTGATTTATAGTCAGATATCGAACGTTCGCCTATGAATGAGACCGGGATTTCGGTCCGGATGTTTAGGGAAATCTTGCACGCTGCGTCTGGACTTTTAGTTAATTTGCTTCAAGCGTTCATCTATTTTCCATGAGCCTGTTGAACTGTGATTCAACATCTTCAGGGTCAAGAGGCAACGTGCTACTTGGTGTTATTTGAAACAATTGAATTTTTGACAAAGGGACCGCAGCTGTGAAAGAACCGAATGGAATTTCGAGACCGATTCTCGAAATTATAGTTGCCATCGGAAGAGTCAACTGTCTTCCGCAGATGGTGGAAATTTGAACTTCCCAGTTTCATTAGTTTGGAAGATGCGCATTTTTAAAGAAGACTGCGTAGTTCAGCTGAAGCATCCATTTTCAAACCCATATTTACTAAGCTGGCAAAAATCGGGCTTTCAGGTAATTTTGATGAAACTTGCGGCATCTTAAGAGTCGAATGTCTTCTGAAGATGGCAAAAATTTTATGTTGTTAGCAGCTTTCGTTTGGAAGATGCAAATTTTTCAAGAAGACTGCGCAGTTCAGTTGAAGCATCCATTTTCAAACCCATATTTACTAAGCTGGCAAAAATCAAGCTTTGAGGTAATTTTGCTGAAACTTGCGGCATCTTAAGAGTCGAATGTCTTCTGAAGATGGCGAAAATTTTATGTTGTTAGCAGCTTTCGTTTGGAAGATGCAAATTTTTAAAGAAGACTGCGCAGTTCAGTTGAAGCATCCATTTTCAAACCCATATTTACTAAGCTGGCAAAAATCAGGCTTTAGGGTAATTTTGCTGAAACTTGCGGCATCTTAAGAGTCGAATGTCTTCTGAAGATGGCGAAAATTTTATGTTGTTAGCAGCGTTCGTTTGGAAGATGCAAATTTTTAAAGGCGAGAGTGCAGTTAGGTTAAGACAAACACTTTTAGACAGATGCTAAGCAGGCGAAATTCAGGATTTGGGCCGATTTTCATGAAACTTTCGGCAGCTCAAAGACCGACTCTCGTCTAAAGATGCCGTCTGATGATTTCAAATTGTTAGCGACTTTAGTTTAGAAGTTTCGAATTTTTAAAGGAGAGAGCGCAGCTCGGTTAAAACACGCATTTTTCACACTGATATTTACTAAGCAGGAAAAAATTAGTCTGCATTGGGATTTTTGTTAAACTTTTTGCATCTTAAGAACGCAGAATGTGCTAAAGATGGTGAAAATTTCGAAGGCTGGGTTTTATTAGTTTGAAAGATGCAAATTTTTAGATGAGAGACCGCTGTTCAGTCAAACTATCCATGATCATAGCCACATTTACTAAGCTGTCGAAAATCGGGCTTTGTGGCAATTTGAATGAAACTTTCGATACTTTAAGAGTCAAATGCCTTCTAACGCTGCTAAAAATTTGAAAATTTTGGTTGCTTTATTTTGGAAGTTATGAATTTTAAAGGGAGATGGTGAAGTTCAGCAAAACGTACATTTCTAGACCGATATTTACTAAGCAGGAAAAATTCAGGATTTGAGGCCATTTTCAGGAAACTATCGGCCTGTTAAGAGCCGAGTGTCTTCTATATTTGCTGCAAATTTCAGGCTGTTGGTTGCTTCCATTTGAAAGATGCGAATTTTTAAAGGAGAAAGCGCAGTTGTCAGGATTCTGCGTCAGCAAAAATCAGGATTCTGAGCGATTGTTATGAAAATTTTCACCCTTTATCAAACTTTTTCCTTCTAGCGGAAAATTTCAACTTTTTGAAAGACGGCAGTTGAACGAACATGATGAGACCGATACTCACATTTTTTTTTCAAAACCGGCAACTTTTCTAATTTTTCCCAATTT